GTAATAATGGATTGGCAAAGAGACTTGTATATTATCTCCAGTAATCTTATGTCGGCCGCCGCACGGAGATTCCTAAAAAAGTATATTAATTTACGTACTCTTTTGGCGGTAGCAACCAAGTGATCTCCGAAAGTGAGCCTCTGATCTATAACTACGCCAAGTATTATATTTGCGGCCCGACTGACGCTTTGACATTTGCATGACACTCGCTTTTCAATGTCGCAAGAATGAATCAGGATTTCAGGAGAGTACGAAGGAGCAGAGGCACTTATCGTGTGGAAACACAAAAAATGGGTTTTCGTTAAATTTAGCGTCAAGAGATTGCCACGAAGCTATCAGCGACATACCGCACTCGACCAACAATTCGTTCATAAGAAACAGATTAAGTAGAGGTGGATCCATGATTATTATTGAACGTAACTTAAAATTTAAAGAGCGTAAGGATATCACAGATCTTTCTACTGAACGAACTATTGAGATTTCATGTGTGGAATTGGATCAGTTTGTCGTCTTAAGTGTATACAGGCCCCCCTCTGCTAATTTTAACGAGTTTGAATTAATTATGGAGATAGTTTAAAGCGGATTTTTCCAACCAAAACAAACGTAGTAATATGTGGAGATTTCAATGTAAATCTGTTGGAAAACTGTTCTACTTCTGTAAGACTCATTAATTTATTAAAAAGTTTTAACTTGATTAATCTTTTCTTAGAACCAACTCGCATCACTGCCTCCTCTTATACTTGTATTGATAACATCTTTTGTAACACAGACGCAGTGTTTAAATCAACAATTAATTGCTTAAGATCAGACCATAGCGGCCAATTGGCTTCTTTTAATTGTAAAATGAGCAAGAAGGTAGACCAATTTGTCTACAGACCGATTACCACAGAACGAATCATTAGATTTCAAAATAATATCGGCAATAGTTTAAAATTTCCTACCCCATATACCGGAGGTTCCAAACACTTTATATAGCACGATATTTGGTTTAATTAAAAATGGATTTGATAATGTACTTAAATCGAAAACATTAACTTTCCATAGAGAGACTAAATTCAACGACTGGGCAACAGTAGGTATTCATAAGAGTAGGTCTCGATTGTATGAGCTATATGCTACGAAAACTTATAATACTAATTCCAATTTCATTGAATATGTTAGAAATTATTCAAAAATATTTCAAAAGTATGTTTAGCTGATAAGGTTAAGTTTCACAGCGACAAAATTAGACAATCGATAAATAAATCTAAAACTACTCGGAGCATAATAAATAAAGAGTTAGGTAGGGTTAAACAACACGAGAGAGATATAGTTTTAGAATTAGACAGTAAACTTATAAAATCTAAAGATATGGTAGCCCAAGAGAAAAGATTAAGGAGACCGGTAGCATGACTGTGGCATACAGTACATTTACTCAAATATTTTACATGCCCGTAAAAACATACATAATTTCAATAAGAAAGAAGATATCCATAATATTAACCTTAGAGCTAAGTACAAACTCATGGTACCACGATTTCGTTTAACCAAGGTAAACAACTCTTTTATGGGGAAATGTGTACGTTTTTATAATAAGATTCCGGAGCATATATTAAGTTTATCATTTCCTAAGTTCAAACGCTACATTAAAAATATTTTGTACGAAAAATCATATTACAAATTTGAAGATTACGTGTTAGATAAAGATGTATGGAAAGACGACACGGCGCCAGAATCCACACAAATTTGATTCAAAGTGTATTCCATAGCATTTAAGTTTATTTGAAAAGAGCAATCCCTAGAGTTTCTTGCTCGTTCTTCTCAGGGAAGTCAGCGTAGTGTACGAGCAGTAGCTTAAATGTGCGTTTTCAAGTGTAAATTTATTTTACCTATGGAATAAATAATCTTTGACTTTGGCTTTGACTTTCGGCAGTCGCGAAACAACAGTCGGTTTTCTCGAGTCAACCGTTCATTTACATAGATATTAGTTGTAGTGGCGCCTTCAAAACCCAACATCCTTGGTGTTTAACCGTCGTGGCTTAGCTGCTTTTAGAAATTGGTCACGCTTAGTGACTCTCACAACCAAAGGGCGTGGTAAGGAATGACTAGTACTCTGACGTGAACCGACTCATTGAACGCAATCAACATCAGAGTCAGAAAGTTTCACGCCTATGAAGGAAGGCATCGTTAAAATAATATGGAGAGGATTTTCATTCTGAGTTTCCATCACACCAGTGACTTCGATCTCGTTTCTTAACATGCTTTGTTCTTGGGAATTGAGTTTGTCGTTCATATTACATCGATTATGCATTGAAACTCTACTTTAGATGCTTTTTTCTCGACTTCTTTTAAACGGGTATCATAGGCGGACATTGCCATATAATTCATCTAATCTTATTTCACAGCGATTAAGGGCGAAGATGGCCATTTCAAATTCGGTCTTCATTGACAAAACTTCCGCTCTTATTACAGGGATGAGGCTTCTTGCTGTAACTATTCCAAGGGGCTGGCTGGTTTTAGTTTTCTGTAGGTGATATACTTTGACGTTCTCACCGGAGTTGCCGAGTTGTCGCCTCCTTTCCTCATAGAACTACAGCAGTCTGGACAAACCCATGAGTCATTAATGGGGACTCCCAGACCAACACAGTGATAGTGAAAGTTCTTGTCACATCCGTTTAGGGTACGTTTGACGAATTTCTTATCCGTGATACTACTTTTGCAGCCGGCACACAACAGACTCTGCTTAGACTTCAACATTGTTTGAACTACTGTTACACCAAACTAGCGGCGCTCCAATAATGCTTGTTTCAACAGAATAGATCTCACGGTAATGGTCTAAGCGACGTTGAGTGTGACTAGCTGACAAGTAAAGTTGTCTGCGTGAAACGAATTGTATTTGTGTGAACGCAGCCGTCAATTTAATTTTTCATATTAGCAATACTACTTAATCGTCACTTCTGTCTACGCCCACCGGTGTCACACGTCCAATCAGCTGAACGTTAATAAGGTGTTATCTGTGATTTGTTGTGCTGGTGGAATGTGGAATTCAAATTGTGTAAATTAACAGTAATTTTCGTCGTACCTTAACGAAATTTAGTTCTAAATATTGGATCTCCAATTGTGAAACAGTCGTTCTTCTCGATCAAGTCACTCCACTATGAATCTAATGTACGGACAACGGCACCACACATTTTTGTTCGAAAATCGCCTCCAGTGCAACGGAACAAGAAACGTCAATGTGTAGCTTAATGTGCTCTGGCGTGTTACCTAATCGTGAGTACCTAATTAAAAACTATGTTTTTCGTAATAAATCTTGGAAAAATTTTCCAACGAGTTGTTTACAATAAGGATCACGTTCCGTTCTTTCACTCCGTTTTTCACTTCCGTTATTCAGTTAAATAATCAATGGTTGCCTGTGAAAACTAAGTGTGAAAAGAAATTCCAAGTTATTGTTTTTGTTTTTAGGAACAACTTTTACAATGTTTAAAGACACAAGATGGCATTTTTAAACGTAAAATAAGTAATCACTCGCTCGTGACGTGCAAACAATGCGACGCTGTGCTTAGCACTGACGGGAGTTTGTATTCGGTTTTGAATTTGTATTTGCTTTGGTGGCTTCAGTTTCGTGTTCGACGCGCTCCATCTACCTATTGTTTTGTAATCTGAGACTTATTAATACTTTTTTGTTTCATTTTCGTGAATATGTCAAATGTTTTGTGGAAACGTGTCAAAAATTGTTGATGAGTGTCGTACAACGTTTTTAGGCATTTCCTAACGCCAATAAAACTGGCAGGTAGGTACCTATGTGTCTGAAGCGGTCACCTAGGGGTCTCTATATAGGCTGTGTCAGACCGAAACGTCAGGTCTCTAAACTTACCAACTAAACTAGTAGTTATACCTACATATAAAATGACGATAATATATAATTTGGGCTTAAATCGCGTTTTATAAACTTTACAAGTATGTTTATACGACCAATAAATTCTACATACCGAACAGAAAATGTAAAACGTTTACTTGATAATCATACAACATTAACTTGTTACTAGTTGGGCGGGGCCCTAAAATCCACGAGGTGTGAAATGTAACTAGATACTGACTCGCTATAGGCATGCGTGCGGTGGTAGTGAAGCGGCGCAGCGGCGGCGGCGGCGCAGTGGCCAGCGTGGTAAGTACGACTGCGCGACGACGGCGCCTCGGCTGCGCGTAGCGCGGCACGCGCACGACTACTTGGCGGTGCGCCGCGCTGCTGCCGCCTACGGGCGTTACGAAATGTCGCCGCACGGCGCGTGCGACCCTGTAACGCAACATCTGTCGACATCAACTCAGTCACGCTCTGAAGTATGGCGCGTACAGGCTTATTGGCCTGGACGTGCAGAGGAATGACACTCACGCGTGAGACGGAGAACCGGCAATACCGAGTGAGCGGCGGGGTGGGCGCTGGTCGGCCGTCGCGAGAGCCTGCAAGCAAAACGGGGTCAGCAGGAGGCAGCGCCGCTGGCCGATCGAGGATGAATGCCATACGTGCTGACAGCCCGCAACGTGATTTTGTTCTGACTATTCGAATCCCTGTATTCACCAGACGGCGGCAGCTTTATAATATTCTTACACAAAAGTCCAAAGTTCGGACGTTTAGGTGAATGAACCCAAATCCAGAGTTATAATCATGCCCAAATTTATTTCGAGCACCAAATTCGCTTTTTAAAACGTAGGCCATTCGTATCTCTCTAACACCTGCCCGCGGTACTATTCCGTCAGCCATAGGAACGTGACACAAGAAACGGCAGGTTGCGAGCTTTTTAAGAATTTTACGGCAAAAAGTAGCAGCAGCAGCAGCAGCGACGGCAGCGGCGACGGCGGCGGCAGCGGCAGTAAGCACGCGGCAGCAAGGACGGGAGAGCGCATGCCGATAGGTTATAAATAAAATAAGGCAGCGCACGCGCTGTACACGGCCGCCGCGCGGTGACGCAATTATTGCTTTTGTAATTCGATATTTTATAGGTACACTGTGATGTATAACAGACTATAAAATATTATTATAATGCAATTCTCATTGTGAAGCAACTCGACCGACTTCCCGTGGACTGCAAAAATTCACATTTCTTATTTCAATGTTACAGACACGCAAGTAAGACGAGGCAAAGTGTTGGTTTTTGTCCGGTCTTTCTAGTGCACTAGCAAAGTATAGTCCAGAATTTTGGAGCTGTGCGGTAAAATTGTATGGCGGTACAATTTTATCTTGTATGGCGGTACAATTTTATCTAAGAACAATAATTTTGTCGAAACGAATTTTCAGCTATCTTTTGTTTTTAATAAAATATAGGTGCGCATTTGACCTCCATCTCACCTGATGGAAAGTGACGATGAGGTCGACGATGGAGCATGCACACCTAAATAATGCCTATTCACTCGCGCCTTGAAAAGGTCCAAGTTATAACATTCAAGGAACAAGTCTGCAGGCAGGGAATTCCACTCTATAGCCGTTCGCCATATAAATGTGGAAGCGTAACGCTTCTTGCGAATCTTTGGAATATCCACAACATAGGGGTGGAATCCAAGCCTACGCCTAGTTCCCCGTTGATGGAAAGGGGAAGGCGGAATTAAATCGTGTAATTCCATCGCACACTCTCCGTGATATATCCTGTAAAATACCGATTAGCAGGCAACTTTACGGCGGTGTTCAAGGCTCTTGCAGCTTCGCCTCCACTAATTCCGAGTCACCTATAAGCGTCTTGGCACGGTTGTCAATTGAATCCAAAGTGGCCAGTTGATATGTCGCAGAGCCATCCCAAAGGTGGCAGCAGTACGATTGTCGATTGAATCCACGGTGGCCAGTTGGTATTTAGCAGAACTATCCCATAATTGGCAGAACTCCATGCACGATCGGACTTGTGCTTAGTACAGCTGAAGTAACTGTCCCGGTGTAAAGTAACGCCTCACCCTGGAAAGGATCCCAAGCTTCCTTGCTGCATTTTTGGCCATGGATTCAATGAATCTGCCGAAGTTCAAATTGGACGACAGGTCCATTCCAAGTAGCAATTGGCTATCGGTATGGATATATCACGAAAAGTCGGAGTCAGCTCAAACGGACTCCGTTTTGTGGAGAATAGACACGCCTGCATTTTGGTAGCGTTAAATTTGACAAGTTTGGCATTGCCCCAATCGGAAACTGCCTGGAATATCAAATCTAAACGGCTAACTATGGACTCTCGACAAGATTGGATTTCCTCACCACTGACCCTTGCATTGGTCAAGTACCTATCTACAACTGTGCTGTCATCAGCATACGCAAAGGTACCTGGAATTAACATATCATTGATATGCAGCAGAAAGAGAGTTGAAGACAGTACTGTAACGAGGGTCGCTCTGATGCGTAGCGAGAGGTACTTTTATGAATATAAAGTGGAATAAACTTCAAAATATACTTTATTGTATTCTTTTACATAGTTCGGCTTTGGGTTACAAATCAATAATTGTCAAGATCTTCCATTCTTTTCCTACACTTCACTTTTAAAGCATTCTATTTACAAATCTATTCACTCAGCCCGTGATTCTACTCATAGAGTAGAGCCTAGTCTACAGTACGAAACCCTGAGGAACTCACGGCATCTGTCACCATATGACATTCGGAAGAGTAGCTTTCTAAGACCACTCGAATCGAACGTTCGCTCAAGAAATCCGAGACCCAATTGCAAAGGTCAGTGGGATGCCCATAAGAGGGAAGCTTATTTAAAAGGCTTGCGTGCCAGACTCTGTCAAAGGCTTTAGAAATGTCCAAAGACACTGCAAGTGCTTCGCCTCGCTCCATATGTGACTGGCATACACAAGAAGATCCCCAGTAGATCGCCCTCGTCGGAATCCGTAATGGCGATCACTGAGGAGGTCGTTGTCATCAAGGTACGGTATGGTAAGGTATAGGAGACGGTTGTTGAGTAGACGTTCCATAGTCTTGCAGAGTATGTAAGTGACTGAGATAGGTCTATAGTTGACAGAGTCAGCTCTGCTTCCCTTTTTGGGCACAGGTTGCATGTTTGCAAGCTTCCACGACCTAGGAACTACACCAGTCTCAAGTGAGAGGCGGTACAAGCGTGTGAGAACAGGAGACAACTCAGGCGCACAGTTACGCAGGACTATTGCTGGAATTTCATCTGGCCCGCTAGCTTTATTCATGTCTCTCATATTCCGCAGAGTTCTAAGTACCTTTTTTTGGCGTATGCGAACTGGCGCCATAGTGCAGCCAGCCTGAGGTAAAGTAAGTGGTAGGGCATGCGGCATCTAGACACGAACATCCTGCAAAGAGTGAGGCAAAGAGATTCGCCTTCTCTTCCGCAGTATGAGCCAGCGAGCCATCCATCCTCTGCAGAGGTGGCAAAGATGGGCGACAAAAGTTAGATTCGACCGCTTTGGCCAGGGACCAAAAGGATTTGCTGCCTGCTGGATAAGAAGTAAGCTTGGCCCATTTGCGGCGCACGTGGTCGAACTTGGCCCTACGCAACATGCTTTTGCACTTCTTGGCGGCCTTATTAAAAGCTTTCTTCAAATTGTGAGTTATCGGAGGTTTGCGTAGTCGAGCATCTGCCCAAGCTTGGTACGCGGACTTTTTATGTGCTTCAGCACAACTACAATCAGCGTTAAACCATGGACGAGGTTGGGGTCCATTGGGTACATCAGAGTATGGCATGTAATACTCCATACCCAAACGCAAGACCTCGAGCATCAGCACAGCTCGACGAGTCTCCTGAAGTAAAGCACGCCTGTCAGGGATATGACGCAAAGAAATGGTGCATTTTCGGTCCCAATATGATAACTTGTATCGCCACAACCGTCTCATACCACTAGGGCCCTGATCGGGTGGGGAGTATACGGATACAGTTTTCACCAGACAATGGTCGGAAGTACCCAGTGGGGCCTCCACAACTACATAGTATCGGTCCGGATCAGTTATCAGCAGAAGGTCCAAGCAATTAGCCGTATGAGAGTCAACATCTGATATTCTAGTGGCGCCACTGACAAGCTGGGATAGGCTTGTATCGGTGTTCTGGTATGGAAACAACCATTCTTGATGGTGTGCATTAAAGCCCCCCAGAATGACTAGTTGTGCTGCTGGCTACCTATGCTGAATCTAAACTATATGGGAAACAGTACAAACATAATTAGACTAAACAAACTTCTGCCCAAATAATACGTATGTGTAATAATTATTCTAATAATAAGTTTTCGGACAAATGATACTTCTGCTGTAAGACATTTGTGTGTTGCAAATAAAATGTCATCGCACTAATGAAAAAAGTCGAACCGTTTTCGAAGAAATGAAATTCGGAAAAAATAAATTCGAGTATGTGATACGTTGCCCATAATACCACACGGTTTGAGAAATTTTGAAGATTACATCATCAAAATTCCAAAAATTAACGATCAAATTTAATTGTATTTTTTTTACCAGACGTTGTTTTCTTTGGCTTATTTAGTTTTTATTCTTTTCTAACAATAAGCAAACGTCTCCGCCTTCAGCTTTATTACCTAAATTCTTTATTTTATCTATTTTTTCACAATTTAAACTGCAACTTCGTCCTGGTCGCGCCACCGGCAATCTCGCTACTACGTAGGTGCTCTTCTCTAATTCTCTTTTGCCCTCTGTGGGCTTTCAGAACGGAGGCAAAAGGACTATAACTACCAGTTGGTTGTCTACCGATAAGAATAGGTCAAGTTAGAGATGACTTAAATAAAGAGTCAGGCAGGGTTAAACAACACGATAGAGATATAGTTTTAGAATGAGACGGCAAACTTCTAAAATCTAAAGACAAGGTAGCCCAAGCTTTTGAATCGTTCTTTTCGCAAATTGCTGTGAACACTACAGAATCATTAAATTTCTCCCCTTCTTTTGCTATTGATCTCCTAAAGGAAAATGTTAACGTTTGTGGCAGTTTATTTCATTTTCGTCATGTTAATCCACAAGACATCATAAAAGTTTTTAAATCAATTATTCTTTAATTTAATCAATTATTCACTCAGTTATTGATCTAATTTCCCCACATTTAGCAGTAGCTTTAATAGGTGCGTTGACGAAGGTGTTTTTCCCGATTTAATGAAATACAGCAGGGTTATTCCTTTATTCAAAAGTGGTAAGAAAGTTGATCCTAGCAACTATATGCCCATTTAAATTTTCCAGCTTTAAGTAAAATATTCGAAAAGGTTATGCTGACTCAATTACTGTCCTATTTCGGTAGGAATCATATTTTTCATAGTGAACAATACGGATTTACTACTGGCAGATCGACTAGCGATGCGGGGGTAGCGTTACTAAAACTCTTCTTTGATGCTTGGGAAAGGTCCCATAACGCTATTGGTCTTTTCTGTGACCTCTCAAAGGCATTTGATTGCGTTGATCATATTACTCTTATTAGGAAGCTGGAACATTAAGGTGGCAAGCTAAATGGCACTGCGTCGAAACTTGTTTCGTCATATTTCAACGGTAGAATACAAAAAGTAGACATAAATGGAGTGACTTCTTTGGATTCTCCGATAAAAAATGGGTATTCCGCAGGGCTCAATACTTGGACCTTTCTTATTTCTGATTTATATTAATGATCTGCCATTCTTTGTTAAGGACCATTGCGAAATAGTATTGTTTGCTGACGACACATCCTTGATGTTTAAAACAGACAGACTTGACATTAACTATGACCATATTAATGATACCCTCTCTAAGGTAATTTATTGATTTAATGCTAACAATTTATTGCTTAATGCCAAGAAGATAAAATGTGTTAAATTTGAATTACCTAAAGTAAAATCGACTAGTCCAAGTTTACGGTTAATACCGCACATTAAGTATGTTACCGCGTCAGCATTTTTATTTTTTTATGTTTAGTTATAATTTCTACACATTTGCAATTAAGGCATTGTCATGAACAAGCGCGTATTTTATTTTGTAATCAAGTAAACGAAA